CCCCCCCCCCCCCCCGCCCCTTATGGGTTCAGACATTGGAAATTTCGGAGGTAACCCAAAGGTTTATGTCATTGCACACTGCTCCCTTTGAGAAGAGGAGGGGAGGGCAAGGACAGGGGAAGGAGGGAGAAGAAAGAGGCAAAAGATGGGGTGGAATGGAGAGGAGGAGAGAAAAACAAAAGATGATGACAAAAATTTTAAAGGGCCAATTCCACCTGCGCCCCTGGGAACAAATTAACGCATCAAACACAACATGAAATATCACCACACTGAAAATGCCATCACAAATGTTAAGGGTAACAGTTGACTTGCTATTAGAATTCACCCCGAGGCTGTATTTACCTGGACTGCTCAAGGGGCTAGCCCTGTCCCCCAGGGTTGGCACGGGATGATACTGGTGGTTCTTTGAGCCTGGGTACATCCAGTGGTACCTGCCAATTTCCATTTCAGCTCTGCTGTTCACTGCCAATTTCAGGTGGCAAAGAGTCAGTGTCTCTATCTCCGGCAAAGATTATTTATCAGCATTTATTCTTTCACCATAGAGTTAAAAGGAAATGGGGCGTCTTTTCAAAAAAAGCTACTGAAATGCAACCTTTCCGTACCGTCTTATCAACCGGGCAGGATGAATCGAGACCGTTGGGAGGCTCCTCCGTTCTTGAAGTTTGCACAGCTCCGCAAAATTGCCTTTCTCCTCCCTTACTGTCGCCATTGCCCCCCCCGCCCCCCGCCGCCCACCCGCAAAAGGCTCACTTTGGACAGACACTATTCCTGACACAGAGTAGGCTGCTGGCAACTATCAGTTGAATCACAACCTTGAAACCCCTAACAGCTCATGAGGACAGCTCTGGCCGGTTTCTGTCTGAGAATCCCACAAAACCTCTCGAGGGATTACGCCCTGTGGGGTGCCACAGATAGTTAAGGATAAAAAATGATTCTGATGTTGACGTGGGCAATTATTCCATCAGAAGATCAGGTTATAATGCTCCCTTTGGCCCCTGCGAGCGCTGGGGGTAAGGCCTGAGGAGACGGCCACGTGATGAGGCAACCAAGCCCGACCGGGTGCGCTCAAGACCTCACAAAGCCTGGACGAGACCCTGGCTGCACCCGGCACGATCTCTGAAAAAGGAAGCCTTTTTGGGGGCGCCTCGGTGGCTCAGTCGGTTGAGCGTCCAACTTCAGCTCTGGTCATGATCTCAAGGTTCATGAGTTCGAGCCCCACATGGGGCTCTCTGCTGTCAGCACGGAGCCTGCTTCGGATCCTCTGTCTCCCTCTCTCTCTGCCCCTCCCCTGCTCATGCGCTCTCTCAATAAACATTAAAAAAAAAAAAAAACAATTTAAAGAAAGGTGGCTTCAAGGTAAAGCAGAATTGTCTTTTCAGAGACATTTGAAGACATTTTAGGGGGAAAATGGTGCTAGGGCAAGATCAGAACTCACGATGAAACTACGTGCCGCTGTTTGTGTTGTCAATAACGGGGAGGGCAGCTCGCACGCGCGGTGCTCGTGATGCACCACCATCGTGTAAAGCACGCTGCACCTGTTGCCTCAATAATCCAAGGTCTGCTATCTGCCACAGCCATCCTATGAAATCAGTACTCTTATTACTCTGTCTTTATAAATGGAGAAACCGAGGATGGGGAGAACGGAAGTCACGTGCCCACAATCAGGCAGCCAGGGGTGAAGGAGCCTGGGAATGAACCCGGGCCATCGGACTAGAGAGGGGACACGTGTGAAACCGCCAGATTACCCTGCTGCGTGGCCTCTGCATTTGCTACAAGCTTCTACTCTTGCCGAGGCAGTGGCTAGCTCAACAAGAGGTTTTCTGAGGTCCGTGTGGAGGTGAGCCGTGCTTCTGTGCCTCCGAAAGAAACGTCTCAGGTCCCAAGCTCCTGAGGTGATTTCAGGGCTCTGAAAAGGACTTAACTCTCCACTTTCCCTGGGTTTAGACTCTTGCCTTACTGCTCAGGAGATTCCCGCTCAGATGTGGGTTGTGCTACATACTCCAAGAGCAAAGAAACCCAGTGGGGCTGGTGAAAAGAACCAGAAGCAGGTCAAGTGTCTGTGAGCCCTTCGCATCGACCTCAAGCAAGATGATCCCAAGTAGTTCGATCACTTTTGACCGGAAAAATGCTTCGTTGTCCTCTAAAAAAATTTCTCTCTCCATGCCCAACACACAGTAGGCGCCTACAAATAAATGAATGAGTTATTTGGCTGAAAGCGAGGCAGCACCCTGGGACCCCGTGGGTCCAGAAATGGACCTCCGGGCCGCCCAGCACACTGACCTCACCCAAGCCAGGCCATGCGATTCCCTGAACCTCTGTGCCCTAAGTTTGTGTTTCCTGAGCAAAAACATGGCGGCCACGCCAGACACGCTGAATTCAGCATAAAAATACTACCGCTCCAGCAGATGTGGAGACAGGATCAGCAAGTGGATGGCTTTTTTCCAATACTTCTGGGAAGGCCTTTCTCCAACAGTAAATCTTTAGATACGAAAGAAAAGAAAATCATGTCTCTTTTGTACACGTGAGCCAAACCTAACGACATTTAACATGAAACTAGTTCTAAAATTGCAAAGAGCACGGTATACGTTTTTTTGCTTAAAAGGACAGGGTCCCCGGCCTTGGAAGGGGGTCACGGGATCGCAAGGAGAAGCCTCTGCGTGAATGGCCTATTACAACACCGTCAATGCCAGGCAATTGGCAAGAGTTGGGAATATATACCCACACGCCAGGGAGATCCTGGCTTCTGGCCTACGGAGGGGAGGCTGCAAACGTTCCCCTTAGAGAGTAGAAGATCGAGATGGGCAGGAGATCACTCTAGATTGTTGAAGAAGCACACGAAAGACTGTGACATCTGAGACACAATGTATAGTTGGGGCTGACGGGAGCGGTTGTGGCTGATGGCGATAGTCACAACTGTGGCTGGTTGTCACCAAAGGTGGGTATGAAACAAACAATGGGCAATTGAGGAAAGGAAAACAAAACAATGCCTTGTGCTCTTTTTTTTTTTTTCAATGTACTTAGATACTGTGATTGATTTATGCGACAAGGCTGAATAACTGAACTGCAGACTGGTATCCTTTTTAAGCATCTACGAAATTATCACTGGAAGCAACTAAGGGACAAAGACTGAGCTTCCTAGAAAGACCACAGTCCCCAGGCAAGGTCTTTGAAAGCTCTGTCATCCTTCATTTTTAGGTATTATTTAAAATATTCAAGGAAAGCTACAACCACACTACAAAATATGGCGGAGGTCAGCAAATGACAGCCACCTGTTTTTGTAAATAAAGTTTTATTGGAACATAGCCACATTTATTGGTTTACTATCCATGGCTGTTTCACGCTACAGTGGTAGATGTGAGTAGCTACCACAGAGGCCGTGTGGCCTACAAAGCCTAAAATATTTACTCTCTGGACCTTTATGGATGAAGCGTGCTGACCCCGGATATGGAACATGGCCAGTAAGGCTTGAATACAGAAAGAAGTTAATGCAATTAATCAAATCAGCCTCCAGAAGAGGAAAGGACTTTATTTTCCCTTTATATGTTTTCTTTCTTTTTTTTTTTTTTTTTTT